GCTGTTCTGCCTATAAACATAACCCTGAAGCCCTCAAGCCCGCAACCCTAAACCCTGAAGCCCTCAAACCCTAAACTCTGAAGCCCGCAAACCCTAAACCCTGAAACTCCTCAAACCCGTGACCCTAAACCTGTAGCCATTTCTCGAAACAGTTCTGCTTTTCTGTCCCCACATTGTCTCCTCCTGGAGCACTATGCTGAGCAGCCAGAAGTTTCGATGCCTTAGCACTACTTTAACTTCGTGGTCGGGATCGTGGTGTGCTCTGGGGAGGTGTGCGCTTGTTTTCAGTCGCCAACCTTGCAAGTCATAAGTCAGCAGGCTTGTGCTGAGCGTCGACATTCGCAACGGTGCGCTCAATGTTGGATTGGAGGAGTGTGTGAAGAATGAGATAAAGGGCGCTGCCACGGCAGATCCGTATTTCAAGTCAACGATGCACCACAAGCTCGAGCTCGCGGCATGGATCCGAACGTGCGACCCGGGGTGCCGTGATAACTTCTGCAGATACACAGGGATGCTCCTAGGTATGCTTGTCGTGACGACCGGCGTGGCTGACGTAATTGCTTTCCTGCCCCTGTTGAGGTCTTGAGCCGGAGGCTGGGATGGTTGGGATGGTCGAGATTGGCTGCTCCGGGTCCCGTCTGCATTGCAGAGCGGCTGGAGCAGCAGGTCAAGCACGTGAATCTCTTGCTCGACCTCCGCGTCGGCCTGATGCAGATGGCCCATCTGCTCGAGGAGTCCAAACAGGTTCTCAGCCACGCCTGGTGCTATGTCGATGCAGGCTCAGTGGCTCGGGCCGCAAATTCAAGGCCAACGAGCTCCATGGGCCAAGACTCAGGCCCCGCATCTGGCGTGGCTCGGGCCACGTGTGCAGGGGAAACGTGCTGGGGCACAGCTTTGCACGAGCAAGTAGTAATTTGTCATTTTGCACGCAATTTGTATATCGTACACTGCTGCAAACGTCCTCGCTATACTGCAGTATTTCTTGATAGGCTAGAGGCTTGTTTTGCGATGTGTATGATGGCTTCGTCCGATTGCAGCTTTTGGAAGCCTGCAATGCCCGTTTCGTTTTGCCCTTTACCGGAGCCCGTCCCTGGTGTCTCTATGAACCTATGGGCTTGACTCCACCCTATGAACCCCGGGGCAGTCTTCAAGCGTAGCTGTTGAGGTCCAGAACTAGTCTAGATGATCCGAACTGGATTTCAACAAGAAGAAGACCCTCCCCATTTTAGACGTTGTACTTTATTTCTGTTTGTGTTGTCGGGTTCTTGATCTTGATGGGTGTTTCACTTTTTTGCAGACCTCGAACAATATGCCTCGTCGGGAGTGCCCAAGTGTGAGCGCCGAAACCTTGAAGCCCTCAACCCCTTAAACCTAAAGCCGCCCATGGCAGAAGCCCCCAAGAAAATCCTTCACGGCCAGCAGGCAACCTGCCGGTAGCCCAGAGCCGCTGAATGAGGCGGCGGCAGTTTATGGGTGGTTTTGGAATTTCGTGAACTTTGGATATGTGAGTTGCAGTTTAAGGGCACCTAAAAGGGCTATATTGGGGGGAGTTCAGGGACTCTCAAGGTACAGGGCTTGCAGGGTTTGGGTCTGGGTGTTCAGGGTTCAAGATTTAGCCTTTTTCCATGCTTTTGGTTCCGGAGTATGGGGTTTGAGGGTTTAGGATGTTCGGGTGTAGGGTTCTGGGTTGTGTTGGGGCTCTCGAAGAGCTGAACTTCTTATTGTGCTTGGTGCTTGGGTTAAGGCCCTTTTGGAAGCATATAGGGGTTGGGGTTTCGGGCAACATGGATTTCCCCTTTTCATGCAATCTTGAGTGTTGAGGACAGGTTTTGGAGTTCAGGGCTCAGGGGAGGTTTCATTCGCATTGCGAGGTCCATGGTGCACGGTGTGGTTTACGGGGCCCACTTTCGTGAGTCTTCCTTCCACCGTGTCGAAGTCGTGTCTCCCACGAACTGCAGCAACAAGAAAGACAAGTGATACTCATTGCTTGTGAACACCAAGCCGATCAAGCGCAAAGTTCTCGAACAAACACCGGGAGGTGGCTGCTGGCAGTGCTGGGCAGCGCTCTGGCATCAGAAACTTTCAAACCCAAAAGCATACGGTGCGGGTGCGATGATAATGGTGGGCTGCATGGTACAAGTGCAACTGTAACGCGGGCGTGCTGCGGTGATAAGATTCTAGGTTTTATCAACGTCAGAGCCATAACCCTTCCCCTGCTTACTCTGACCGACCTGGTTCTTCATGGCACTTTTCCAGACTAACATGCCTGGACTGTTGTAGCAATGGCTTTCAACGTCATAGTCAGCCCTTTATACTTCTGCTGGTTACACAACACGTAGTATTTTCTGCACGTCACCCACATTGATGGCCATGCGCCTCATGGTCCCAGCGAGCCCAACACCCCTTGATTTTTCCTGGTTTTAAAGTTGCGCTGCTCCATAAAGGTGTGTTAGGCTCTCAGGGTGCTGTCGCTTGTCATGCTCTTCTAAAGTGTCAAACTTGCCTCACATGCAGGGTACAGCTAGCACGTTAATCCATCATGCGCACGGTTTCGGATTCGGTGTAAACTGTTTTCAGGTAGGGTGCACTTGGAGCGAGCCAACCGTTGTGCAATTGATCTGCTTGGACTTTGGATGCCGTTTGATCCTTGAGACCAATGGGATAGTTTGAGCACTGGTAGCTTGCAGGACTATGTTTCGTTGGAGGTCAGGGTTTGCACGCCAGGTTCTTAAAGCTGCGGAAGCTCCCATAGCTCCCGACAATGTCAGGTTGTCCCATCTGCTGGTGCACGTGCTGTCGCAGCCAATGGTCGGACCGGAAGTGATCGTCGCACCAAGTGCAGGCAGACGGATTGAGGGATGCATGGTACCGATCTCTCTATCGAGTTTTGCTGCTTTCTGAGATGCGAAAGCCCAACCGATTGTTGAACAGCTTACTCTTTTGGGATCGTGGCCTGGGGATGGAGTTGTGGCCGCGAACATTTTGGAAGTTTCAGAAACTACTCCCCAAATGCGACTCCGGAGGAACCCTCAGAAATCTGACCGCACAGAGACTAAGGCTAACAAGCCTGCGGAGTCTTTGCAGCTAGCGTTCGAGATCTCAAACTTAAACAACCCGTACGTAGAGAAGCCCGGATGGGTATTTAAGGGTTTCCGTGTTTATTTTCATCTGCCTCCACGGTTTGACTGTCAAGCCTCAAACCGTAAGCCGTGTAGAAGCACCATGAAGCCGTAAGCCCGCGGCCCTATATACTTACTGTTCTTTACATGATGAAGCAGCATAACACTCGAAGCCTTAAATCTTCAAAGTTCTGTAATTTCTAAGCATATCTTCCTGCTGATTTTCAGGGCCGAACCTGACTCAACCCTCCCCAGTCCCAACCGTATTCCGAAGCCTATACTATTAGTATCATTAGGCGGCTATCGTTGCCATTATTGTTGTTACGATCATCAAGTATCACTATTTGTCTGGCCTGGATCTCAGGCCTTCAAAGTTGGGCAGAGGGAGACGTGGCATCGTGGCTCAGAGATTCGGGTGCAGGGCTTGGGATGTGGCGCGCTTCTAAGGTGTGCCTTCGCGGTTATGGATCATCTTAGGGTTTGGGGTTTAGGGTTTGCGGGGTTTAGGGTTTAGGATCATCCAACTTGAGTCGATATTCCTAGTCCTGTCTGTGCTGCAACTCGCACTAAAACCCAAGCATTATCCCGAAAAGTCAACAATGATCAAGTAACCCTTTGCCATGGAGATCGGTGCCACGAAAGCACGAGCCCGACATTGCCTATCAATAGCTCTGAAAGCCTGATGTGAACCTGATCTCTCCGCACATCGAGCTATCCAAACCCTGAACACCCATACCCCTAGTTTGCCCTAAATACTGAATCCTGATGAATCCTGATGCCCTTACTACACCCCGAAACCCCTGAACTTGCGATGCATCCAGGTTCGAATCGCTTCCCTGGAGCTGGTGAGACCGGATGGCGAAGCTACTGCTCCTCCGACAATTTCAACCCCACGACCTGAACCCTACGGCACAGCCCTAGTGCCCACACCCTATAGACCCGTAAGGTTGTTGAAGTCGTGACCGTGTCCATTCATTGTGTTGTGGACGCCCTCAAATCTTCAGCTCGGGTCTCTAGTTGCTTGCTTGCTGGGGCTCGGACAGGCTCGGGGTCAAATCCTCCTTGTAGGGGTCTGGGCCATCGAGCTTGGCTACTCTCTGAGGGACTTAGACCAACACCCGACCAAGAACCAGTATAGGGTATACTTTACTACATTTTTTCCCGAGACAGTGGTCTAAGCCCCCTTCGAATCCCGAGTCATATTGTACCGGCTTCCAGTGCGCCCATGAAGAGGGATGATGGTTGAAATCTGATCTCGGCTGGGCTTGCCTAGTTGGTCAGATTTGTCGAAAGGGGTGGAGGGGCAGGCGTAGCTGTAGAGCCCTGCTTCAAAAAAAGATTTGGCGAAGTGTTGTCCTGGAGTGAGCTTCTGCAATCGACATGACATTGAGGCCCGTATCTCTAGCCTCGTTGCCTGTGGACCCACCACACAAGTCGGATGAACCATGAGCCGGAAACCCCCTAAACCCTCACCCACAAAGCCCGGAGTGCTTGGGGTTCATTATGCTGAACCCTGACCTTCAACCCTGACCCGCAACGCGTAGGGCTGAAACTCTGAACCAGAAAGCTGCTACCGTCCGGCGCCATGCAACCCTGAAGCTGTCGGCTGGACCGCTTTGATCCCCAAGCCCAAAACTTTAGCGCCTTGCATCCCCAACACACACTGGAAGGCCATAACGACTGGTGAGTTTGCTATAACGGATCTGTGCGGGCTTTAATTGAGGGTTTTATAGAAAGTGTCACATCAAGGTGCTCGATCCAAACAGGGAGGTCTTTCTGGTCTCCGTCGCCATACCGCGCGAGGACCGGATCTGTGCAAGTTCTTCTCGGAATGATTCCAGGTATATAGAGGTATATAAACAACTGTCGTAAACAAAGCGGCCCTAATGCTAGTAATCTCGGAAGTTCAGTCTCTGTGGCTTGTGGGGTTGTCGAGTTGAGGGCTCAGGGTTTCCAGTTTTTGCCACTGGCTCCAGCTACAGGGTTTAGGGTTTAGGGTCCCTAAACCCTGAACGTTCAGGATGAAAAAGGCGTCGTGAACAAAAAGGCCCTAAACCCAGAATTACTTGGGTTTAACCTATAAAGCCTAAACTTTAAACCCTGAACTCTGAACCCTGAACCTAAACCCTGAACCCCAAGCCCTAAACCCTGAACCCTCAACCCTGAACCCTAAACCCTGAACAACCCCTAACCCCTGAACCCTGAACCCTAAGCCCTGTCCCTGGGAAAAAGCCCTGTCCCTGCAAGGAGATGCGCGACTTCCTTGAGCAGTGCTGCCTGGCTGCCGAGCAGAGACCCGCAAGTCTGAAGCCGAAACCGAAAACCGTAGGACGTAGGGTTTGTATAAGGGTTTATCAGGGTTTATAAGGTTTTTTAAGGGGTCTATTGGGGTTTAGGGTTTCGGGCACTCCAAAAGCATGTAGAATAACAGCCTTTTAGAGGGTTTGGGCCATGATTTGTCCTGCTTTCGGGGGCGGGTTAGGTAGACCCAAACCGGAAGCAAAATCAATCCATCATGGTACATCCTAAGCTTCACGAGGATCTTTGGAGAGCATAAATCCTACACCGTACATCTTAAACCCCCTACCTCCTGAGCCCTAAAGAAGCTTAAACCCTATCCTAAGTCCTGCCGCTTTGACCAAGGCGACTACCTACAGCTAAACACCAGGGACCCAAACTCCTGACCCTTTATCATAGACCCTGAATGTGTCCTAAGCTCTCAAAATTCGCAACGGAGCCCTCGTCAGATCCTGTCAGCTGTGGGGAGCAGTTTCCGCTAGGGGATTGCTTGTATTTTTGTTGGGACTTCCAGTACTTACTATTTGGAATCTATACTAAGGTCCCTATTCTCTGAACCTCGCGTTTAGTTCTTGATTTCGCTTCAGTTACATGGGCTGAGCACAGGCTTTTGGGAGTATGGTTGCGCGGTTTGAGGTGCAGCCGTATTGGGGATGATGAGTTTGCACATTGGCCGTAGCAATGCTTGCATCTTATCTGAGCCAGCGGCAAGCAGAAGTACTTCTCCGTGGTATGCTATGTAGCTGCACCGAGTTAAGGTTCTCTCTAAGTCGACATGTCGAATTGCCTGGGGTTTCAAGAGGGGCATATTCTAGCGCTCGATGTGGGTTTCCTAGATTCATACCTTCAATGTGCAGCCCTAGTGGCTGTTATGGCCGATGGGTACTTTTGGCAGGCTTGCAGGATGGTGCTACTGACTGCCCATGCGGGGCTCCCCAACTCGGAGCAGACTTCAGAGTTCAGAGTAGCCCCAGTCATGATCTTCAGGCCTTGTGGGGTGTCAGGGTGAGGTGTGAGGGCATATGCAGCTCTTAAAGCAGGGTGTAGCCGGGACAGGTAAACTTAGCTTGTGCATGACTAGGATCAAATGTGAAGTTTATGTCCAGCTCAAAAAAAATGATGCCTCTGGTGAGTTAAGCTTTCATCTTTCAAACGTTCACTCACTGTGTTTAGGATGTTGAGCTTCGGCCGAGGTGCACAGTGTGGATTGCCCCATCATTCACCCTCCTAAGCCCCAAACTAGAACCGTAACCTCATGGACTGGGCAAGGTGAACGAGAAGTTGTGGCCACCGGCGACCAAAGCGTTGCCGAAGCAGTCCTGCTTGTGCCCCTGTTGAAGCGTGGTGTTTTGGGTCTCCGCGCATCTTACTGACTGCATTCTGAAGCCTTAGGCTCTTCAGTCAATAAATCCTAGATGCCAGGCCAACCCCTCTCAGCTCCCTGCCCTCAATGAACCTTAGATTCTGAACCTCTTAAACCTTCCCGTAAACCCTAAACATAGAGCCCGATAACGCATAGTCATGCCCAAGGCATGCAGCAACCTAGGGCCTAGTTCACGGCCTGGGGGCACTCACATTTCCGATCCTCCGAAGTATCGTTTCCTATTTGGTTCATAGCGGCAGGGCCCCAGAAATCAAAAGATGGGGCGAAATACTATCCCCTTAGGGCGCTTATCCGTAAACTCCCCCACTCAGGGCCCATGTGCTTAAGTTTTAGGGTTTAGGGTTTAGGGCCTTGAGGCCTTAAAGGGGATTACCATACAAGGACTTTCAAGGGCAGGGGATCTTAGTTGAACCACCTCCGTGAAGCTAATCACTGCCGCCAAGCTGGCTTTCGGAAGTCCTGCCCAGGGAAAAATTCCGTTCGTCGCGCCGGATGCCAAAGTAGCTTGGCATGGGTTCATTCAAGAAGAACACTAAAAGCACCGGTTGTTGTTTGAAAGCTACCGTTTATACAGTGGTACTACGAGTGCAGTACTTCAATAACATACGAAAATATCGGGAGTCAGTGAAGTGACGGCTGCTGGAAGCTTCTTTGGCTGCGTGTGAAGTGTGCGGGAGGGCAGTCATGTCCAGCTGAAAGGTCGCCCATCAACACCAGAGAGCTTGAAAGACTACCCTAAACCCTAAACCCTAAACCCTAAACCCTAAACTTCACATCAAGTTCTGAGTCCCAAATCCTGAGCCTTCGAGCTGAAAGCGGAAGCCCGAGTCAACCCAGTCTCAGGTTGCTTCATGGCGAGCTGCACTTGCGGCGGCCGCAACAGGCATCGAGACAGTGCCCGTGCCCATGCTTCGTTCAGCTACGACCTTTTTCAGGCAGCATTTTATAATCACCATGGGAAACAGGGTTTTCTCAAGACCCTTGGGTGGGGTTGGTGCTGTTTTTGGATGTTTGTACAGGCTGAGCTTTCGCGCGCACTTCCTGTAGCACGGAAGTTTCGTCGATTCTGCACCTTGAAACCTTAGCCCTCAACCCCCAAACCCTAGACTCTATGTTTCGTCCCAGCTTTCTCGTGCAGCTAGTTTCACCACAGCTGGCTTGAAGACCATAGACCCTACAACGAGCGTCTTGGTAGCCAAGCTGGTGCCGTCTTTGGACTGAACCTGTTCTCCGATCCCTGAGCCATATACCCGGAACCACAAAAGCCATAAGCCCCAACACCCTACAGAGCCCTTCCAGAACCCCTTAAAGAGCCTTTAGATGCCCTTAGATATAGCAGGGTTCAGAACCCACGAGATTTGCCTGTGGGCCACTGCGCCCTAAGCCCCTGCGAACTAGCGATCTTCCAAGAAGGATTTCTGGGGCTTACCACAGGGTTGAATATAGGGGCTTAGATAATTACCAATATTATTTTGGGGCTCCCTCTTATGATTATTGTACAGTATCCCCTGAAGGGGCCTCAATTCAGGGCTCAATACGGCACATAAAC